GCCCCAGGGCGCCGGGGTCCCCGCAGAGCGGCCGGCTCCGCCTCGCTCGCCTCCCGCCGCCGCCCCTGGCGAGAGGTTGCCAGGCTGAGCCTGCTGCACGCAGAAGCCAAAGCCTTCTTCAGTCCCCTGGGACCCGCGCGCTGTACACCCAAAGGATGCCAGGGATGCCCTCCTTCGGGCTGGGATTAACACCAGATCTTCCCAGTTCAGAGCGTGGCCCGTGCGGAGGAAATGCGGGGCCAAAATTCCCTTAAGACAAACTGCCGGCTCCCCTTCTTAAAGGGGCAGAGACTCCGGTTCAGTCCCCGGGCGCCAGGTCTTCGGAGGAATCTTTATGCTAATGAGTGTATTAGCAATCCGGATGACAGATGCGAACCGGATAGGCGGCGGGGCCGGACGCGGCACCAATCGCAGAACAAGATTAAGGGGAGGTCGGAATGTTTGCTTACCTTTTCACCTCTGAGGAAGTTGGGTCTTTAACCCTGTTCACTGCCAACGTGGCAGAGCGAGCTGTGGGAACGTTTAGTGCCTAAGGTTGCAGGCTGGCAAGGCTCCATTTAATCCAGAAGTTTCATTTTACAGGCGGAGAAACTGAGATCCCGGGAAGGTCACACAGATAGATTTGGGTGCCAGTTCTTAAATCTGGCGGCACCATAACGGTGCCACTTCAGACTGGTAACTAGCCAAAAGTGAGAAAACCCAGGATAAAGGAGTGGCACAGCTTGTGCAGGGTAGCTTTTCCCAGGGTCCATGGCCATGGGAGAGGGCATGCTATCCGTTGTAACCAAAGATCATGCCTGAAAATGAGGTAGCTGCTTCTTGAGGTTTGAGTAGGCGAGCTCCGGGGATGTAGTTTAACCCCAAGATGTGGGTGCCTAAGAGCTGAGAAATTCTCCAAGAAATTGATTTACTTGAACAATACCTCAAATCCATCGGCTGTGTGTACATTATAGACATAGCAGTCTGTTTTTCCGGTTTCCTGTAGAACAGTAGACCTGTTGGGGCAGGCAGCAAGGCCAAGGGCCTGTGGAAGCTGGAGGTCACCCTTAGTCTGAAGGACCAGAGCTGTTACCTGTCTTGTCTGTCTCTCTCCCTTTCTCCCCACCTCCAACAGACTCAGGCCTGTGGCTATAGCCAAAAAATGGCAGAAACAGGAAGCCACCTCAGGCCTCACCATGAAGAGGGGCTCTGTCATCTACACACCAGTGCAGTAGGACTGACTACAAATGTTCCATTGGGATCAAGCTGTTTGCCTCCATTTGGTCAGACAGGACTGTCATCCTCTATGGCCAGTTGAATTTTCTCCCATCCATGTACTAACCAGGACTGACTTTGCTTAGCTTCGGAGATCAGATCTGTGTGCATTCAGAGAGGTATGGCCAAGATGGCCAGTTCAATTTTCGAAATAGCCTTTGTGACGAGCGCCTGCCCCCATAATGTCACCAACTTGTTCTTTTTTTTTTTTTTGGTTTTTCTCTGGTACCGGGAACCAAACTCACAACCTTGCGCTTGCAAGGCAAGCACTTTTGCCGCTGAGCTAAATCCCCAGCCCCACCAACTTGTTCTTACATGAGATCTATTCAAGCATTTAAAGGAAATAATATTAAGGTGGAGGAAGTATCTGGAAATAAGGAGAACACTCAGAAATTGACAGCTGTTTATTGTGGGTATACCTAGACTTACACATATCAAATTACCCTTTAAATCACTGCTCTGCTGCATAAGCACTTAATTGTCCTGCATAGCGAACCCAACAGCAAACCTGAAAGACAAGGACATTCTCATTTTAAGCAACACCTTTCTTCCAACCATGAATCCTCTCCAGCTCCTTCCCTTTCCATTTGTGCTTCTGGGCTGAGAAGGAGGAGCAGCTAGGTCCTGGCAGCTGGCCAGGCCACCTGGGGCAAGAAAGTCCTCTCCAGGATCTGGAAGCTTGTTCCCGGCATATGGGCAGCACATGGGAGAGTTATCTCGGCCTTTTCTGAAGACTTAGGAAGAGAAGTTCTATTTCACAACTTATTTTTTCCATTTCACTTTCAGCAGGCCATGGGGTCAGAGCTGCTTTCCCATGTGATGCCTCTGCTGGGCTATAATTTGCAAGCCAGAATTATTGTAATGCTATAGTATTATGCCAAGAACTTTCAGAGGACTTGTGTATCTGCTCAGCTCCTAAACACTCTATATAATTAGCCCCCCTCAATATCCCTGCAATCTGGTGTTATTCCCAGTTTACAGATGGGGTGGCTAGCTTAAGGTAGTATTTATTTTAAGCAGGCAAGAACCCCATGGATGTTTTACTTTGGGAACATGTAGAGACATACCCTCCAAGACTGAGTCAGAAATAATCATTCTGAAAGGAAACAGAAAAGCTTGCTATGGAAGATGTTGGAGAAGCAATTCTACCCAGTGGTTTGGGGAGCCAGACTTCTAGGAAAAGGATCAGAGTGCTCTAGGGGGTTAGAGCTGGACACACTGTCTTTTCAGAGTTCCAGCCACCCTATTTTACAGCGGGTGAAATGGGAACAGTGAAGGGGAGAGATTGAGTCAAGAGGCACATCTGAGCCTGCCATGGTGGTGCATGCCTATAATCCTAGCACTCTGGGAAGCTGAGGTAGGAGGATTGCACACTCAAGTACAGCCTGAGCAGCAACTAACTTAGTGAGACCCTGTCCCCCTGCAAAAAAAGGTTGGGAATATAGCTCGTTGTGAAGGCCTGAGTTCAATCAATCCCCAGTACAACAAAAATGAAAGAGGCACAACTGAACTGGTACAGAGTCTCTTGATGCCACCAGCCCAATATTCTGTGGCAGTAAATAAACCATGCTCATTGCTCTTGGCATTTTTTGCTTTTTCTGTTCATCACCCATGACCCATTCCATTTACTTGTTCAGAGGGCTGGTCGGGTTTGTCAGGGGTTGGTCGGGTTGGTCGGGTTGCCTTACCTGCTCACGGTAGACCAGGAGCTCCTCAGGGCAGGAATGTGGTGGCTCCTTTCTCTGCACCTCTTTCAAGTATCCTAAGGAAGATAATGCCATTTGTAGAGGCCCCTAAAACTAGTGCCACCAAGCCAGCTGACTCATCTACTTATAGGAAACATCATTCTGTCCAGTCTACCAAATGTTACTTTCAGACCCTTTCTATGTAACAGGCCCCTGGAGACACAGAGAAGATTCAGATCGCCATGGTGTTTTCCATGAATAATTGTGCAAGGCAGGGTAAGAGAAAGACTGAGCAGAACCAGGGACAAGGGCTATAGAGTCATGGGAAAGGGAGTTTGATTCTGAGGCAAAAGAGCATGGAGTGTTCTTAGAAAAGGAGGCACTGTATCTGGACTTGCCCTTGAGGAATGAACTTCAGTATGGAAAAGTAGGCATGGGAATTCCAGGCAGAGGGAACAGCATCAGCAAAGACACAGAAGCAGGAACACATGGGAAACCACTTGGGCCATGGTAAGGGACCCGCTGTGAGTGGAAAACAAGTAGTTAAGTAGCTGAGGATTTGTGAGGGTGTGAAATGGTGGGTAAAAGTAGAAAGCTGGCCTGGCCCCATCTGGAAGAGTTTTGATTACCAACCTAAGAGAATAGAACTTCATCTTGCAGGCACCAGAGAGCCACTGATAGTCTTTGAACAAAGAAGTTACCTAATTTTTTTTTTTGCATTTTATAAAAATCATTCGGGAAGCAGTGTGAAGGATGCATTTCATGGGAGTCACAGAAAGTAGGCAGAGCATTCTTTTAATTGCCTTGCTTGGGCTGTTCCTTCTGTCTGTGTGTTCTTTTCAATGTTAAATGTGGTGCCAGAATAGCACCTAGTCCGCAGAAGGCACTTAGTGCCTGTTGAGTGAACAAATACCACTAGCATAGTTGTAGTTGGAAGCATGCTAAGCAGTGGACTCTGCATGACTCTCAGGTCTCTGGCTTTAGTCCACTCGTAAATGGTGACCAGCCATTTAGAGGCAAGGAGGAAGAAAGAGAAAGGGGTGTTTGGGGGTGAAGATGATTGACTTGCCCTTAGTTACCTGCATGGTTATGAAGTTCAGAGCCAGAGTCTGGACTAGAGGCAAAAGCCTTAGTCCTCCTTGACCCCTTCTCTCATTCCTTCCTTGCCCAGCCCATCAGCAAGGTAGATGCAGAATCTGAGCACTTCTCACCTGCTCCACGACCACCAGACCAAGACTCTTAGGTCTCTTGCCTGAATTACCACAGGAATTCCTTGCCCACTTCTTTATTTTCATCTGAACATAGGAGCCAGTGACCTTATTAAAAATGAGCCTGGCTATGTCCAGTGGCTCAGGTGGTCTTACATGACCTGTTTCCCTTAAATTTCTGATTTATCTCACGCTGTCCCCTCTCTTCTGCTCAGGCTGCTGCTTGCTCTTCCTGGATCCCTCTAGCACACTCTTCCCTTGGGGTCACATTGTGATCTCTTCTGCCTAGAATATTTTCCCCACTTATCTCCACAGCTCGTATCCGGTTTCCTGCAAAACCGACCTTTCTCTCCCTCCCTTTCCTTCCTTCCTTCTCTTCTTTCTTTCCTTCCTTCCTCCCTTCCTTCCTTCCTCCCTTCCTTTCTTCCTCCCTT